ATGGAGCCACGTAAGTAATCCCTTTATGGCTTGATGTCCTCGTAATTTTAGTACTTCGAACTTTGAGCTACAACGCCAAATTTCTATTTCTATTTCTAGCTTCAAGTATCGCTTCTTTTTTTAGGCCAAAGCTAGGTGAACCACTATACTTGGCAGACTCGACGGATAAAAAAGGATGTATTGCTAATGATTTATGCCAAAAGCTTGTATTGAAGAACTCGCGCTGCTCTACCAGAACAGGTCTTTGTGAGACTTACGGCAATAAAGCTGCCCTCACAGTTGACTGTAAGTTCACATCTTCATTAAAACTTACCCATGAGAAATCATGTTTTGGTTTCTAGGTAATTGCTGAAACGCGAGCAAGATTTCCACGTTGCACAATTTGGCATGATAGTCAAAATTGTAAAAATAAACATAAAGCCACGACAATAACAATACTATTTGAATTGCAACTTGTTTACAAACGACATTTACATAATTTATATTTGCAACATAAAAAGAAGAATGAATAATCCATTTTATTTAAGTAGTTATGTCTACTGCTTTAATAATATTTATCTATGTATGAAGAAGATTGCATGTTTGTGCCCATAAGCGTACCCGTGGCGTTTGCAGAAATTTTCTCGGAAGAATGCGGTAGGAAACAAAAAATCATAGCTTGAGATGGGATTAAGCTCCTTTTGGTCACTGCTGCCTAGAAATCTTCAAATCCAGTTTTCTTGGGAAATATCAATAATAGCAACATATAATTCTGAGTATAATTATGTCATATTACTTCAATTCTTTTTTATTTCACTTTGCAAAATTTCGTTGTTCGAGGATGTATGCGCCCCTACTGGTTCACAATGTTTGCGACTCTGATGTCCCAAATGCGAACTATTTTTGGAATTGGTTTTGAAAAGAACTTCGCATGCAAGTCATGAAGGTGGATAATATATGGTTGTTTTTTTACAGGAAAATCGATCATTTACTCGCATCGATTTATTTATTTATTTATTCTTGCATTTCGCGACCTAAAGTTCAGGAAAGCAGTGCATGGGGCTGGCTGAAACACTGACTGAATATGATGAGTATTAAAGGATCATTGTTCGATAGAGCTATTTGTCTGTTCTCCACACATTCGTGCTGGAGTTTGGTCTGATGCAGTTATTAGTGCAGGACATATGCATCAGTTGTACACTAATTCAGGCTGACCGTTCGTCTTCTATTTATCCTACCACCGATATGCAGCTTCTTAAATATTTAAACAATTTCATTAATTTGCTCACCACTAATGTATATGCTCTTGGGATGAACTCCACCTCTATATATCTGTCTTCTTAGTAGAGCTAGCCGTGCAAATTCAACTAGCTCTTCCCTTTCTCCATCTCTTCTTCAGTTCCTTTTTGCTCTCGACTATCAAAACCACATCATCTGCATAGAGGAGAGTCCACGACAGTTGTCGTTTGAGGTCTCCCGCTTCTGCATTCATCATTTGAAATCAAGGGAGGAAGCACCGAGGCTTGATGGACTCCAATATCGAGCGGAACACTTTTGAGCGACCGGCTGCTCTCTGCATAGTTTGGTGACTTCATGATAGATCATTATAGACCATTTTATACCATTCACTTATTTTTTACCATTCTTCTTTGATCATATGTTTCCGCAGCGCCCATTGTCGAATGTTTTTTCAAGTCCAGGAAAGCCACATGCAACTTTTTTGCTGTTCCCTTTGCTTCTCCAGTATGGGTGGCCTCAGCAGTGCTGATATAAAGCCGCTTTGATTTGGCTTTAATTTTTAGAGGCG